AACACCGTGACTTTAAGAGCGTAACAAAGAGCGCACAAATGAAAAGATTCTCATGTAAAATGGGATAGAGAATAGTAAGAAAAGCCATAGTTTCTAGACAACGGGGACCCCATCGGAATGATAAGCTTTTCAGCGAGCACAATTCTCAAACGAGGAAAAATACCGCGGACAAGGAAACCATGGATGTCCTACGTTGATGTTTGATCCATGGCACTCGGGGCTTAAAAGACGCAAAAGTACGCTATGGTGAGGGAAACGTAGGCTGTCTAGCGGACCGTTCCTACACGAAGGTAAAACAGGAGATCCATGAAAGGTACCATTTACCAACCCTGTCAAATTTTTTGGCCGAACGCAAGGTCACCATCAGACTTGAATAACCTCAGCATTCTAAAGAGAACATCCTAGAAGATGGGAGTAGATGTAGTGATGAACTTCCTGAGAACCATCGTTGTAAGCAAGTTGGAGTGCACGGTCCCTCACTTGCCACAAACAAGCCCCAGCGACACTGTCGCATATCGCTCAACCCAGCTAAAGCCTGAGGAGAATGTGCTCGTTTGAGAGCCAACTTAAATCGGCCGGAGCGCCCGAAACTTTTTACGCAACGTTGTGGATGTGTTCTCCTACCTGTTTGTTTTACCACGATCAGAAGCGCATATAGTGGTAAGTTTATCAATGAACGTTGCACCGACGCTATGATGGGCGTACGTATTTTCTACTCATATCCCCCCGGGAAGTGCAAGCAGGCCCTAAGTCAGGAAGAAGTTTTTGTTTCAGAACCTGATGATAAGAATCCAACGAGACAGACATTCCAACCAATCCGCAATTCTTCTAGCAAGCAGGGTCAAGGGACAGCTCTCAGTCTGCGTGTGTCTAAAGATAACTCGGAAATGAAAGATTGTAACAGCCGAAGGAGTACTTTCAAATCTGACATTTTTGGTGACTTGGCGCGCACGACAATCTGCGAACATCGGGTGCACCAGGCTAAATCGTGATAAGCAGTAAATTTCATACATGATTGCGCCTTACCTTATGAGGATTTGTCCGAACGAGAGAGAGATAAGCCTTGCAATGGGTTCTTTTCCAAGTCTGCTAAACGAAAAATTGGATTACGTAAATGACAATCTTATACTTCGCAACAGCACTTTCGCGTTTCGAGGGTTGTGTTCAGATCAGTATCGGGCTTTTTGAAGGCAAAGACGGCCATAGTTGCCTACATTCTCTTTTGAGCTTGAAGTAATTTGTGGTATAAGGATATGTTAGCCTGCAAAAAACAACACTTCCATACGAGCCGCAAGAAAATAAAACTGGCCTATCTCTCTGACGCTTTCAAGTGCAGACTAGAAAGGGTCCAAACGTTATACCCTGTGGTTTGGTCCAGCAAACTTATACAACGGTAGCAAGTGCTAAAAATTGATTGGAATCATGTGTGCAATTTTTCACTGCTACTCTGTGCACCCTTAGCCACTTAAGTTAGTACTCAGCAATAACGAATGCCTAACGTAAGATTAAAAACACACGAACGAACTTACCTGGTGTAGCCACACACGTATTTGTGAAATTGTGTGTCTCAGACGTAGGCGATGATTAATTACCGCTCCAAGATTATTCCTTATGTGAAAGGTTAAATGTTATACAGAACTACTGAAGGAGGAAAAAACAAGGACCAAATAATATCACAGTCCCAAAGAGTTTCATTAAAACACGTACTTTTTGGAGGGTGAATGATGTTATAATTGGAATGACAGTTCCATACGCCTAATGCGATGACCCGATTGGCTTGGAAATAAAAGCAAGTTACCACCCTCATTTTGCTAATAGCATGCTGAGTAAGATTGGGGGAGAAAAGGATGTCATCGAAAAAACTTGGAATAATGACAAATGGAAATTATTTAGGCCCCTAATATCCTAGTTGTCTTTGGCCCGTCCGAACGTAAATGTCAGTTGACTCCATATCAACTACAAGAAGGCTGACCGAAGTCAGTCAGGTGTTTACTCAGAATAACTTGCCGTCATGTTCGCGGAAGGGCTTCCAAACGACGCTATATAAAGATACGGTGCGCTCAAATTGTTTCACTTTTCGCTGGAGCTATCTTTTAGCGAATTCGTTTACTGTTTGTTCTATTTGCAGGGTTATTACGTGTTATTTGCTCTGATTTCCCTCTAAATAGTACTTATGTGTGTGAAACACTCAGACCACACTCCACTTCTGAAGTCGTTAGGGACATAAGATAAACTGGTATTTCGTAAGATGTGAAATCACTGAGAACTAGAGAACCACCAATAAGACATACGGAACTAGGGCATGCTGGAAGATATCGCCCGAATATCATACTATTTATGTACCTGAGACATCACTGAAGGAATGGATCACCCATCTTCTCCCTGAAACACATCACCCACGGGTGAGCAAATAGCGACTTCTGTATTCCAAAGTAAACACCATGCGTTCATGCATCCTGCCCCTTTCACCTCATCATATTGAACCTTGGCGTAGCGTAAGTACGAAGTCTAATTCTGAATCGGTCTTCACCTGGGAGGATGTTATTTGACGATTGCTCAAGCCGACCTCCCTCAGCGAGTTGCGGCCAGACGAGGTTCATCAAAATCCTCGAAGGAAAGGTTGCGTACACTGGTGAGGCATTTTAGCCAGATGCTTCATCGGTCGCAGAATAGGGCAGTCTTTTTTGCTTAAGAAAGCATTATTGATGCGCAGCTTAGAAAATTGGTGACCACCTATCTCCCGGCCGCTACAGGCCTATTAGACGCACAAGTACACCGTGAAAGAGATGGAACGCACTGTGAAGTGAGCCATTTTTAATCACATCAGTACGAATGACCTGATATCCTTAGCGCAAAACGGATTGCTTGCGAAACATTCTCGTTTAACAAACATACATGCATTTATGGACAGCATAACCAAAACTAAGTATAGAGAACGATTTTCCAAAAACGTTTAATAGACTCCACACGTCTTGCTTCTCCAAAAACTTAAATCCTATGGGATCCAAGGAGAAATTCTGTGATGGATTAAGGAATTTTCTTCAACAAAGCTGTAGCAGAAGCGCAAGTCTATGTAGACTTTTCCTACTAGACTTCGGAACTAGACCTCACTGGAGCTCCACACGTATCCATTTCAGAACCTCTACGGTTTGCCATCTACGTCGACCCTGCGGATGCAGATTGAAGTCAATGGCTGTATGTCCGGACAACACGAAATCTAGAAGCTTCAAAGTCAGAGCCATTTAAGTGGATGTAGACGTTGCAAAGCTGTGGCCACAGAAACAGTCACTTTCCCCGGAATAACAAAAAGTGCGTCCATATGTCGTCGGGTGTGACGCAGCCAACATCGTCGTGTATGGTGGGGATGGATCAGAGGTGGAAGAAGATGGACACCAAAAAGAAGTTGGATACCTTACTCTCTCCAGGCATGCACTTCTCACCACCGCCAATAAAAATCGGTCAAAAGGGCATCGGTCGCGCTACGGATGATTCAGCGGACGTTCCTCCGTACTACAAGCACGAAATTCCAGACCTTTAAAGTATCATTATCTACGGTGTGAATTGATACGTATTTATGCCATGTTTGGACGAGGGTTGGCCAACAGGTTTTTCACCGCTGACCCAATTATTACACGGCGAGAACACGGAGGGAAGATTTTCAAGATCAGCGTTCACTACTCTTTATTAAGGTATTTCTTTCCTTTTTGGGTAGTACTGTGTGGGAAAGATCTCTCTCACGAATTTTATTAAAAGAACCTCTATCGTGTCTATAAATCCATGAATCAGTTTATGATCCTTAAGGCAATGCTACAGCTGTTCTCGTCCTGGAATCCTCCAGTTTTTTATCTTTTTGAAGCGATCTACTTACAGCAAAGCGAATTAGTTATATATATGCTCAACCACCCCTGTTGCCCCTATCTTCACGGGCCCCAATTGCCTATTCTCGCATAGAAAGTTCGCTGCGCTAGGTGTGCAGTTTACATACATCTATTCTCCTAAACGAGTCGGGCAAAACCGCGTTCATCTCGCAGCCCGACACATGTGCTAGAATATATTCAGGGCCGCATGTTTCCATTGGGGATTGTGCCTTGAAATATTTGATACTAAAGTTAGCACATGGGACCCGCGAATTATTGCTCTAAGCGCGAGCAAAATGAAAAGAGAGAGTTGAAGCGCCTGACCACGTTTGTGTGAAATTGCACAAGTGCGCGTTTTGCACAAACGGTTACTCAATTGACAAAATACGCAACGTTATGATGGAGGCAAAATAGGGGTACAAAATACCACAGTAGTCAGCTGCTCACCACACTCACCAGGCACGTGGAAGCAATGGCTGGCATTTTGGTTCCGGTTTCTCATTCGTGAATGTGTGTAATGAGCCCAATGAGCATCGTAATAGTACACTAGGCTTTAAATGGCGGCAAGAGAGGGCGATCCCATGGTAGAATCCGTAGGTACGCACAAATCTCTGATAGGATAATTCTCCTTGGAACTCTTCTGTCGGTTGGTGAGACTTCAAGTAGATACCGAACCAGTTTAATCTGTAAGGGTCGTTTGAGGTGAGCTTTTAAGCTTGATGACTTTGGGTGCAATGCTGATGAACGATGTAAAACGAGCGCAGTAATTTGGCACATGAAGTAATTTGAATTTATTTCCTTCTGGATCCTTGGTAGGTGAAATTTTCGGGTTTGAATGAAGTGCCTATCTTGCTGCGCATTTTCCACAGAATATTGAATTCGTCATTTCAAATGTACAGAATCCCACGAAGTTCCATTGCTGAGCTACCGTCGATAGCAGTGTATTCACTGCGCGATCATGATACTTCTGTCCTGAGAAACCGCAGTGTTCAGAAGAACAGCCTTACTTTTCGAGGTTTTTGTGAAGCCGGGCTGACTGGAAGTTATTTTCCCTCGACAGGAATTTCAGCCAATGGGCAACTCGCATTAATCTGGCCCTCAGCACTAACCGTCTCAACTTGTCAGTTTTGAGATAGGGTAGTAATGACATTTTCGGTCTTGCGTCCCATGCACATCAAGGCTCTTCAGTCGTTTGCAAATCAAGCCAGGCTGATTTCTCGCCCTTTGCTACGCAGTAAAGCATCATCAACGAAGGACTATACGGTCATCGATCACACGTTTGATGCAGTTGTTGTCGGCGCAGGGGGCGCAGGCCTCCGTGCTGCATTCGGTCTGGCCAACGAAGGCTTCAAAACCGCGTGCATAACCAAACTTTTCCCGACGCGTTCGCACACGGTGGCCGCCCAGGGTGGAATAAATGCTGCCCTGGGGAACATGGAACCAGACGACTGGCGTTATCATATGTACGACACCGTTAAGGGGTCCGATTGGCTTGGTGATCAAGATGCGATTCACTATATGTGTGAACAGGCTCCACATGCTGTGATTGAGCTGGAAAATTATGGAATGCCATTCAGTCGTCTAGAGAACGGGAAGATATATCAACGTGCTTTTGGCGGTCAGAGTATAGATTACGGCAGAGGTGGTCAAGCGCATCGCTGTTGTGCTGTCGCTGATCGGACCGGTCACTCGCTCCTGCACACGCTTTATGGGCGATCGTTACGTTATGATACAAACTACTTCATAGAGTATTTTGCACTTGATCTTCTAATGGAGAATGGTGCTTGCCGGGGTGTGATTGCTATATGCCTTGAGGATGGTACCCTTCATCGATTCCGTGCAAAGAATACTGTCTTGGCTACAGGGTATTTTAGCTTGTTGAAGATTAAAACTTTTATAAATGTAGTGGCTATGGCCGAGCATACTTTTCTTGCACATCTGCTCATACATGCACCGGTGATGGCACTGCGATGGCTACACGGGCTGGTGTGCCCAATGAGGATATGGAATTCGTTCAGTTTCACCCAACAGGTAACTTGGAATCTTCCTCAGTAGATTTTTAGGTATTTATGGTGCCGGGTGCTTGATTACTGAAGGATGTCGCGGTGAAGGAGGCTATCTAATTAATAGCGAAGGTGAGCGGTTTATGGAACGCTATGCACCCAATGCGAAGGACTTGGCCTCCCGCGACGTTGTGTCAAGGTCAATGACGATTGAAATCCGAGAAGGCCGTGGTGTTGGTCCTAGGAAAGATCATATCTTCCTCCAGTTGTCACACTTGCCGGCGGAACAACTTCATGCTCGTCTTCCGGGTATCTCAGAAACTGCCAAGATCTTCGCAGGGGTTGATGTTACTCGCGACCCCATCCCTGTGTTACCAACTGTTCACTATAATATGGGCGGCATACCAACTAACTACAAGGGTCAGGTAAGTTTTATCCTTATAATTATTCTGGAGATCACCGAATATTTCCAATATGTTCTTCGGTTTTCTCATCAGAGTGTATGATAAGGCCTTCCCTGCTGAAGTCATGCTTCCTGACATACTCAACGTCCCACTAGCCCAACATCATGCTTGTCTACACTTTGTTGATAAGCTGTATGAGTTAGTACCTTGGGACCGCTTTCACTGGATATGCGTCACCGTATCGTGTGGCGCTTCAGTTCGATTGAAGTTTAGATCCGCGTTCAGCTTTCACATCATAGGTCAGGGATCTGCATATGCTGGCTATCCTCTAGGGCAACCTATGTATGTTTGTCGGCGTTCGTCTTTGCTCTTTATGAACTAAGACCACGCCCTGGGTCTTTACCATCGGACTGAGAGGGGGGTGAAATATTTGACCTTCCCAACGACTATCGTCTGAAATAGGGTTAGCCTGTTTCAGGTATGTCCTAGATATCTGATACCAAGCCTGCCCCACCACGATTTAAATCCAGTAGCGGATTCCGTGAACCAAGCGGGGACCGAGTTTCTTCATGTCATCGAGCGTACAGAGTCTGGCTTTCAATTGTACTCCGAGGCGGCAACGTTATTCTTGGTGTGTTGTGGTGATCGAGGTTTGTTTTAGGATTACCAACATCGTTCTCGCTCACTAGATGCCAATACACCGTACACTCGGAGGAGCTAAAATGGCGTGTGAGTCGTGAGAACGTTTCCAGATCACACGATTTCACAAATCTTGTTATCGATGTTTCACTACACCTCGAAGGCACCTGTGGTCAAAAGCGTACAACTTTTGGACATTACTTGTGTAATCCCTGTTGTGCAGAAATGAATCGGAACCAAACGGATAACTTCCTTCAAAACTCGGCCTCACATCCACAAGCTAACTTCAATCCTCTTCCGCAAGATCGTGTTCAGCTGCATGAAGCTATGCTGAGCGCGGTCGGTACGCCGTTGAATTTTTTTATCTAGCCTGTGTTGGACCGAACAGTGGAATGGATGTGTTTAAAGTCGGTAACCTCGTGAATTATTTCGCCTCTTCTGTCAAAATATTTGACAGGCAGGTTGAGAACCCGTTGTGAATTGAGTTGGTCCATTCGGCACATTTAATCTTTCCAAGTCATCACTCAGCGGAGGGACGTCGGATTGCAAGTCATTTGTCTATGTTTGGCAACCTAACTGGACGCCAGAGTATCCTTTCAATTTCCATTCAAGTGACCGATTGGTAGTGAAGTTAAAGATTGTCGGTGACAGTCATACGCCAGACAATGTGGAAACCCGATCTTTTGTCCGTATACCCGGACTCGAGCTTCCGCTGATGAGTGCGAACACCATCAGCTAAGAGGATTGTTCACAATCCCAACCTGAGGCTGTCACCAAGTGGTGGTCGAGTTTCAGTACTGCAATAGCTCTGTGGACTATATTACCTTTAACTCAGCTTCCCACACACTTCGATAATGAAACTGTCGTGTGTAGTGGCTCGAAGGTCAGACGGTTATGTCTCACTCCCTGCACCCCAGGGCCAGGCCACCCCCCTGCAGCCAAGTGGGTCAGATCATTGTAATTTGTTCCTTGAAGGGTCCCTCAGCAAGACCCTACCAATCACTACCTCGTGTTCCAGACTTCTGAGTCAGAGGCTCCGGACAAAACCATACATCATTATCAGGAGCACAACATCAGTTTTAGACACTGATGCTTCACTGCTCTAAAACTACATTTTAATTGAAAGCCTTGTGAACAAAATATCTGTTAGTTTCAGTTTTTCAGCTCACAAACCGTGCATTGAAATGTGGGGGTTCCATTTGCTACAGCTTCGTTTACCGGGGATAAGGGGAATGAGGGATGGCACAATCAGTTGATTAATGGCGAGTGGTCCGTCACGAAGAGACTGGACCTTACTGTTTGTCTGGCGTGACAGGGACAAAGAGCTACGCAGTGAAGGCGATGGCTTTAATACAAGACCGTCAATGGCTGCGTGGCAAGGCCGTATATGTTAGGGTCGCTAACCACTGATCTTGTCCCGCGGTCCTTATCCAGGAAAATGGCATTTACTAACGTGACTAGTAAGCTCTTTCATGCACAATGCTTCAGGGACACCGATGGTCAAACACAGAGCTTTCAAAGGTCTTTCAGACGCAGCGGCCACTTCTCTGATCCATAAAACAAAACAGATCGGACAGTGGTGTTTTACACTCTACTCTCAACAGTCAAGCTGTCACTTTGATGCCACAGTTGTCGGAGGTTAGCAAACGCTGTCATGGCCTTCCCAACTCTAGAATTTCGTCTTTCTTCAGACGACCGGGACTTACACAGTTGCCCAGATAGACGCGAACTTATCTACCACATCGATCGGTTCACCTGCAAGCTTTGTGTTTCATTCCACCCAATCTTGCAGTAACACTTTACACTACAGGCACAAGGCGCAAATGTACAGCAGAATTATTCAAATTATTCAAAATAGTTTCCACTTCTAAAGGGTCGGATCCAAAAAGAGCAACATCGTCGGTATGCTCAGTGTCAGTGATCAAATGCCCCGAGAGTATTACGCTTCCCGAAGTGTTAAAGGCAGGTAAAGAAGATTCAAGCAGCCTATCGATTATGAGGTTGAAGAGAACTGGCAACAGGGGATATCCTTGCCTGACACCAATGGATGTGGTGAATCCAGGAGGGAATCTGCCGTAAACACGCATGCATCCACACGAGGGGGCATATAAAGTTTGTCTAAGAAACGAGCATTTAGAAGAGTCGATCTTCGTCGCCAGACATTGCCACAATTTCTGATGATCATCGAAGTCGAAAGCAGATTTGAGAACGGGAAAGACGACCACTGTTGGTTGTCGGAAGGAGTGGCACAGTCCCAATACTTGCCGCGGAGTGAATATATGGTCGATGCGACCCCGGATTGGACGGAACTCATTCTGATTTTTGCGAATATGATTCTCCCAATGACGGACTAACCCGCACACGATATTTGGAGAGAACACCACGGGACCTATACCCACTAGAATGATGCTTCGGTGTTTTTTGCATGATTTTCTTGCACCCTTTTGAATACGGGAATCATCGTTGGGGTGCTCTATTTCGTCGGAAGTTTTCCTCATTCCTGGTATTTTGTACTAGGGTCGTTATGTTAACCACGATGGACTCGCCATCTTCTTTGAAGAGTGCAGGGTGCAAGCCGTCTGGTCCAGGTGATTGGTTGCGCTGAAGTAATGAAATTGTACGTTGGAGCTGCGCGCGCCATCGCAGTCGTTGGTTACTGGTATAGTTTTCCCGGCTTCAGTGAGAGCTGCTGATCGTGTCGATGTCTAGTTTTATTAGGTTGTGCGTGCGGTCTCGGGCAGGCGGTTTTAAATTCTGGGATTTTCCACTTTTCTCCAGTCGTCACTCAAATCATCATTGTGCCCATCGAATTCTGGGAGCTTGTCAGCAGGCTACAGAGACGCTTTGCAGGTGGTGTACCGAATGCCTTTGCATCAGCCGGCGCGCTCTAGGGGAGAGTGAATAGATTCCTGTACCCATATAACGTGATCAGTGTGTAGAGATGGATTCCAAAATGATAACCGAAGCTCACCATCGGTTACTGATTGTTAGTGGCTTCCGAATCACGATGTGATCGCTTGTGCTGTATGTTTGCGCTGGCCAGAAGTCAATGAAGTCCAACGCATTTGAAGAGTCTTCTTCCCAATATCTTTGCGAATGGCGTCAACTCCGAATCAGTTATCAATATGTGCTTCCTCAGAAATTAGCCCGTGAACCTGAGTATTCATTTTATCTGCCAGAATCACTACATAATGCTTCTTGTTGGCTGGACGAGATGGCCTAAATGGTTGGAGCGCGAATTAACTGACCGGAAGGTCCGTGGTTCGAATCCGACCTCCGCCTCTCGACTTCCCCTGTCTAGGCTTGGGCAACTTGGTAGTATCCCAGCCCTGGTGCTTCCTTCGGGTGGCATGGTAGCTGGGCACCGGAGGGCGCTATAGCTGACCGCTTTCTTTTTTCTTGTTGACCGAATCAGCCGTAGCACCCCTTCGGTGCCTAACTATCATTCCATCCAAAGGAAGCACGAGGGCTGGGATACTATCAAGTTGCCCAAACCTATACAAAAGAGTTCGAGATGCAGAGCTCGGGTTCGAAACACGGACCTTCTGGTCATTAAATTCGCGCTCTAACTACTAAGCCACCTCGCCCCTCCCTGAGTGTGTACAACTTCCAAAATACATAAAAGGCCTCTCGAGTGTCTCTTGGATAGCACGTTAAGTGACTGCATGTCCAGAAGCATGAACTTACATCTTGTGGGCTCAGGGCGCCTGCCAAAGGACGAGATGGTTGATCAAAACATCTGCTTCTCCCCTTCGAGGACGAGAACGATGTCGTCTACATACTTCAGGTCAATAAGGCTTCTTGCAGCAGGTATTTGAATGTCTAAGGTTCTAAAAACCTTCCAACGTTCATTTTCGTCCCCCTGTGTGCCCTAATCCCCACAAATCTGATAACTTATTATTAGTATGTTCACATACTGATCGGGCTTTCCTTGCTGCGCAAGCATGTTAAGGAGTCCATTGCACTTTGGAAATCCAGAATTACAAAAATTGTGGGTTATAGCACATGACGGAGTGTTTTCTGCTCTCGGGTCAATATTTCCTAGGTCACCATGAGGCAATGAGGGAAAAGTGGCCTTACGAGTCTTGTTGCGACTCGGGTCGCGCTGGTTCCCTCGTGATTACCGCACTCACCATGGGCCCTTTATTTGGAAAGGGTGAGAGCGCAAATCTACTGCATAAAAATAGCCTGCAGTCAGCACACAGCTGAAAAAATGCTTCACCACTGCCTGTACGTACCGACGAAAATACTTCAATATTTTGAGTGTCTCGTCTCAGCTGAAACATGAGGTGACATTTGCGCGGCAACATTCTATCGGAGAATAGTATTAATGAGAGATGCACTTGGATTGCATTCGAGCCTCTCCTTAACATTGACTTACCTTTTGTAAGTAATTGTTCATCGCCACATTGTACGTTAACCGTTCACAAGATTGTGGATTGGATCTATCGTCCACACTAATTACTGTGTGACTGATTGACTACGTACACGTTACCAGAGTCGTGCAAGGAATGCTCTTCTGATTAAGTGCACAACTGTAGTCCTCCTCACCAGTTAGGAGCCTTGGGTTTCTCATGTCCCCCAGTATAAATTATATGTCAACTGAAAACCCGTATCTTCTAATATGTCATAGGTGATCACATATGACGCTGCGACAAAGAAGGACAAAGTTGTCCCCGGACTGTATGCTGCCGGTGAAGCTGCTTGTGCATCGGTTCATGGCGCGAATCGTCTTGGTGCCAACTCTCTGCTCGATCTGGTTGTCTTCGGCAGATCTTGTGCGCTTGACATCGCTTCTAAGCATCGTCCGGGCGATCCGGGTCCTGAGCTAAAAGCTGACTCCGGAGAGGCCTCCATCGCAAACTTGGACAAACTCCGACACGCCAATGGATCTCACTCTGTCGCAGAGGTAAGCATTGTCATCTTGTGTTTATATGTAAGTCTGCGGTGTGCTGACCGAAGGTCATGTCAGTAGTACTGGCGGTTTTCCTCTAATAGCTTTCTTAGAATCCTCTAGTCTCCCATCCGAGATACTAAGTGGAACAAGATGCGCGTATTTTTTGGAGAATGATCCCAGCATTTTAACCTGCTAGCTCCACAGACCTTAGTTGGTCTGTTGCAAACGTCGTTTGATCATGATGAGGGATAATCACGAGAGTGTGGCTTTGTTTCACCCTTGAAACTTCTGTTTTTCAAACTGATAGTATCCTCTGACTTGAAAATTAGCCGCTATTCTAAAGACCAGCAAGCGCTGTGACAGGCTCTGGTGATCAAGGGAGCCTAATCTTATGTGTACTCTCTTCTGAAAGCGAGTGCCAAACCTTTTAGCTGTCATAGCACTAGAAACCACACCATTCGATGTACGTTTTACGCAAAATAGGATGAAACCCTAACTCGTTAATTGCAAATCGATTGAATATTGTGACCGGAAAACAGACCTTTCCTTGTCTGCATTAGTTTCGATACACCAATCCAAGACAAAATTAATTCTCAAAATGGTAGTCCTTCCTGGGCAAGCTTCGGAATCTGCAATGCTACCAGTTCTTCTTTTGGGGTTTACAACACTGTGGTTCGCCCGGATTAAATACTTGGCTACTCCAATAAGAAGACTGTGGATGTCTTCGAAAAGTCGTTTGAGTCTATTGTAAATAACCTTTGTGCGTTGCCGAATTTTGTCGGGCGGTTTTGGGCGGACAACACCTATAAAAAATGGATTAATCACGCTTCATTTGTTGCATCTTGTTTGGTTCGTTTACCTAAGACGGAACAAGATTACCTTACGATCTCTTCCATCAAAGGGTATCTTGAATGGGAACCATCCAGTGATGGTAAGATTTGGCCCGCTAAGAAGCATTGAAATTCGAACCAGGGATTCTCAGTTTCCTGCTCTTGGACCTTTGGGATAGGGTATTGGTAGACGGGCCAAGGCTATGATCAGCAGCACACCTGCACCAGAACAGTAACCTTCATCGCGTAGATTGCACGGCACACATTTTCAGTGCGATACCTGCATCTTCGATAGGTAGGTCTAATGGGTACGAAAGTTGCGAAGACTTCCCTTCCTATCTTCCAAGCATTGTCAAATAAGAATGTAGCAGATTGAATCAATACAATTTACAGCCTCTGGGGCGAATAATTATCCGTTTCTGCTCATTTCGACCAACTTGTTCAATGATATTCGTCTTCTTGAGCGAAGCTGCTATAAGGTTGCTGAAAACTCTCCGACGTTCCACGACCGGTTCCACCCTTCTTTGAGTTAATTAGGTAGTCGCAGGCCTTCCGAGTTTCCGTTAAACTTGTGTTCTTTTTGAATTCAAATAGTACGAACTCAGTAAATATACTTATTTGCGCATCAGTTAGGTTTTATCGAGATATTCAACTGAATTCCGGCTTAATTTATCGTTTATGGTATCGCAGCAACTGAAACACGAGGCGGCCTTTGTGCAGCACGCGAAGAATTCAGCCAGGATTTGGTTGAGCCTCCCGTTAAGAAATCTGTGCTCGCCGACAAATGTTTGGGTTTTTCAGCCAGGATTTGGTTGAGCCTCCCGTTAAGAAATCTGTGCTCGCCGACAAATGTTTGGGTTTAAATCTGTCGCTTAATTGCGTGTCGTTTGTTTCTTTAGGTTGTATCGTGAAAAGCTGATGCGGGCCTTCCGCTCATGATAATAAGGACGAAACAACCATTGAAAAAAGGGTATTTCGCCCAGTTGATGCCCACCAGATAGCCGTCAGCCCCGTTTTTTCAGTTTTTGGTCAAACTTCCTCCTCTAAACTTTTGTGACCATAAAAAAACGCACAAAGCCCATGTTCGCCGATTCCGGCCTCATTTGCGCAACTCATGAAAATTGTCGCATCTATTCAGCGTGCTCTTGGGAATGGCTTCTTCTTAAGCTATTGTATTTCACAGACAAGTGTCCTATCACTCTAGCGTCAGATTTGTGTCTTCCCCCCTACTTCCCTAAACACAGAATGCGTTTTATATGAACGCATATTTGCCTACCCAGCACGCAGTAATTTGTCGGCAAACATCCCCTGTAACAGCCTGTTTTCTATCGGAACCCTCGTTCAAAGAGACACTTGGTGTAACCTGGTTGGAATCCTAGTCCCTCTGGTGAAAGGCTTTTTCGTAGACTGACTGATACAGCAGAGGTGTTTTCAGGAAAGTTCCGCTTAGTCACATGACTATTCAATCGAAAATAGAATTCCCCCAGTAAGACCCCTGCTGTTTACGGGTGGTTTATGCACCATAACTATCGACTTGGTGGTCAGACTGTGATTTTCGCAGTTCAGAACTTTTCTACCGTCTGTAGTCCATATGTTTTCTATTTTCTCAATTCAGCTCTTTGATTTCATGCACAGGTCCGTCTTGAAATGCAGCGTACAATGCAGGAGTATGCTGCTGTGTTCCGCGATGGACCAACCCTTCAAGAAGGATGCAAACGAATGTACGACCTGTATGCTTCGAGAATGGGTGATTTGAAGGTGTCTGACCGTAGTCTGATATGGAACTCCGATCTGATAGAGGGTCTGGAACTACAGAACCTCATGCTAAATGCCCTTCAGGTATGGTCATCATCTCATTGCGATATCAGCTAATTTTATGTGTAATATGAATTTACATAGCTTGTCTGATCATTCCTACACTGTATTCAGTGTTTGTTCAAGCCGGACATATGAAGAGCATGGTTTCACCTTTCGACTTGCAGTTTGCTCTGAGTTATATACTGACATCCCGTACGTTCTTACTTTCCAGACAATAGTCAGCGCTGAGGCTCGCAAGGAATCGCGCGGTGCGCACGCACGTGAAGACTTTGTCAAACGTATCGATGAGTTCGACTACTCGAAACCTCTAGAAGGGCAGACGGCTAAGCCAATGAGTGATCATTGGCGAAAACACACTTTGTCTTATCAAGATGTAAATACTGGGAAAGTCACATTGGAATACAGACCCGTGATTGATGCCACACTGGATGCGAAAGAATGCCCAACTGTCCCGCCGAAAATTCGGTCTTATTAGGTGGGTTGTTGTTCATACATACGTTGTGCGAACTTACTCCATCTCTCTTTTCTCTGGGTTCCCATATATGTAACATTGTTTTCTCAGAATAATTTAAAGCGCTCAGCAGTCAGTCGAACATTGCCGGACCTGTTCTCACTCCCGCTTGCTGATGACTTGGTCATTTTTGAGTTTCCAATTCTCATACGGAAACTCAATAAATGGGCGCACCGTTCAGCAGAGTATGGGCTGTAATCATTATTTCGCTCCAGTCCATGTCTCTCAATTTACCAGGTCCCCAGAAGTTCATATTTGTATGATCTCAGCTAGTTTAACACCGTTCTGTTTTTTTTTCCTGTTGGGAATTTGCAATCGGTTTTTACAGGCTCGGAGAACTCTTCATGTAAATTGCCATTCTTCTTGAAGAAACCGATTACATCCGGGTGGAAGCCTCTTGCCACCACTACAGCCTAGGCATTACACATCGCCAGGGTCCCAGGAGTAACTAGGTCCATTTCGGTGTTTTTGCAGCTCCTCTTAAGGAACCAGACTGTTTGGGCTTGCAACATGCGCTCTTTGCTATTTTGAGGAAACTGATGTGGAAATCGGAGGACAAGATCGAGGAAAGTCAAATAAACAAAGTAGGGTGCCGAATCAACTGCATGAGCTGCAACGAATCTTATGTTGGACAGACTAAAACAAAAAGTCGCACAAGGATAAGGGGACACAATAGAACTATCAAGAGACACGATTCACTGTCCCTTATATCTATATATGAAGATCGGGAAGAACGCTAGTTTAATCTAGAAAACGTGAAAATCGTAGCACGCGGACACGATTGAGGACCCATAAAAGCATAGTACTCCACAAAGGATTCAATCAGCCCACACATCGAAATCGACGCTTACTACGTACCGCTATGGGCGAGCGACCGCCGGCTCAACGATAACGGTGAGTCAGCCTCAGCCATCATTTCAATAGACCAAGAAACGGAACTCGCTGTAAAAGCAGACGAACAAAGGTCATGGCACAGGGATCGAAGAGGTCAAATCTCACGGCTACACGGACATCCACCAATCAGAAGACAGGTAAATCAACAGGCTGATAGGAATATTCACCATAAAGACCAGTGAGCAAGCAAGGTCAACGTGGGCGAATTGTCCCTATATCAATTCACGCGCATTTCCGACCTCAACACACTGATGATGTCACCTCGACTGGTGGTAAAACGTTTCCGACCGTATTTATCAGCCCAGTGAACAAACCTACGACCATCATTACAAATTGAGCTATCAGTATTCTTTTCAGCCGCGATATTTGTTATCGGCTGGTTCCATAAAGCGGCAGCTCTAACGATAGCTTACTTTTCCGTCCCTATAAACTTCGTCTTATAAGATAGCCAGTCAATGTAGGTTCTTACGTTCCGTGGTATTCTTCGTTCAGCCTTACGCGTCTTACACAACCGCGCACTAGCTAACAGTTATGGGATTGTATATTTTGTGAAGGTAACCTTTTGTGAATTATAAATGCTAATTAGTGTTCAAAAGCTTTATCGAAACGTTCAACCTATATGTCTGCAACTGTGTCACCTGAACATCAACCAACTAGTGTATGAACTTAGTCGCGATACTATTTCGATAATAAAGCTGATGAAAGACGCCAAACCACCCTACTACGTATATCTTCGTAGTAGGCGCATTTTGTTCAACTTGGCAGATACTCTAGTAATCGGACGTTGGTCATTATTGTGTTTTCTAGGATGTTCTGAACTTTATGTCCTTTTTCTGTTTTAGGTCAGTTTGTCAACAACTTTGACTGTTTCTAATACACTTCTCATCGTGGTCTTACTCATTTGCTCCTTCTCGATCCCAACCAGATAGTGTCAGGAGCATCGAATCGGTCCTCGAAATTTTCTGCGCTTTCGTTTTCCCGGTTTACGTCATCTTTAGGCTGGTTCTTCACCTTCAGCACTACTAATAAATTCATATTTACAATGTTATTGTTGTTTTTTGTGTGTACTCGAGATTGCTCAGTGGGTAAAACGCGAGTTTATTGACCGGAAGGTTTGTGGTTCGAACCAAACCCCTGCATTTCGATCGCTTCCGTGTAAGCTAAAGGTGACATGGCAACTAGGCACCCGAAGGGTGTTCCAGCCGAACGATTGTTATTGCTTTCAGAAGAGCTTGGTAAACATTCGGTAGTTTTTATTTGGGCAACGTTTCGCTTTTGACACAAAAGCTTCATCAGGCCAAGTGAACAGGTTACCAAATTAGCCAGGTTATAAGACAGACGGGGAACCAATCAGTAAGTCCTCTTCAAACTAGATCAGTGTTGAGTGTCGACTAACGGCTCTTGTCGGTTAGTGTGGGTGCCAAAATCTTGAATTGATGGGTTGGAGGGGTTCCAAATTAGTTCCGACCGCTTTGCGTTCCCTAATCTTCCAGTTCAGGGTGCTTCACTTGGTGATTCACCTCGGGTGCCGCTGTTAGATTTTCCCTGGGGTTGTAAGTGCTCCGACAATTTAGTTTGAGGGGGTTTGAGGTCAAGTTGATTTCAGATGATAGCCACTCTTACTTCTGATGACCGCACACCAACACGTGTCAGCTCGCTAGCCAGTTCCACGCCTTCCATTCTGTTAACGCTGGGATTCTTGGCGATTTCTACCGCCTCGGCGATCAGTCTGTGTGACGTGGACCATAGTCCTCGCCTCCAAACCTCAACATTTTCTAAATCTACTTTGTGTCCCGTGTCGAGTGCGTGTTCCGTTTTCGCCGAGTCTTCCAGTAACGCTTGATATTCATCTGCGTTTCTCGGCGGCCTGTTTATTTTTCTACTATGCTCTCCGACTCTGATGTGTAGTTCCCTGGCCGTCTGTCCTATATAGACCTTGGTGCAGTCATTACACTTAATTTTGTAGACACAGTCCCTGGTTCTGTTTGCCGGGAGGCGATCCTTCAATTGCACCAGTGCAGAGTCTCTTCTGAAACGATGACTTCTCAATCGGTTACAAACTTTTTCCAGTCGATTATCACAAGTATTCTCTCAAAACCCTTCAGAGTACTGCTAATCGAGTGACTTAATTTCAGTTTCTAGCGTTCTCATGCTATTCTGCTGGTTTCTCTGGAGATCACGAATTGTGTTGTCCGGTACCAATTACTCTTCAGGTGTTAAGCTTCCACCTCTTTTATTTGTCTTTCCTGATCGTCAAATGTCCTCGTTCTACTGAGTCTTGCCAAATGTATGTCGGTGGATTTTCCCACCATGGCAAGGCTGAACCTCGTAATACCGGACTTTCAATTGGCTTATAACGTTCGCAGTTTGGTTTCTTGACCTTTCAAAGAACCTACAGTGGAGGTACATTAAAAATACTGCACAAAAACGAGTCTTGGTAACACCAGCAGATTTGCAACCATATTGTGAATACGAACTTAACCAAACATGAGCCACGAGATGGGTGTTCATGTTCTCAGGTGCTTGTATCGGTCTAATGGCATCAATCTGAGGTTTGGTGTCAAGTCCTATCATATCCCAGATTGGCCACTCCGGTTGTGGCATCATTACCGTGAGGAAAACTCAGCCGGCGTTAAACCAGAATACCCTGCAGCACTCACTCTGTATGATGAACATGCTCCTAAAACATCGTCTATAGCAAATGTTTTTCGGTAGTCGATCGGGTGACTTGATCTGTTCATCGACCCTGGCGATTGACTTGCGGACATTTCATCACCACTCGTGCAGACTTTGCCAGTGTCCACCCACCCTACGGCGTACTATAATTGTCCCTTCAAATCGTGACGATACGTGTAAGTCAGCCGGTGAACAGATCAACTGTCACCTGAGCTACCCAGTTCCGACGCACTACCCTGTTTTACTGGGAGTTTATAAGTAACGATGCATGTTAGCAGCTAGATAGAAACCGCCGACTGGAAGCTATCTATTGTAAGTCCAGTGTAATTCACTGTTATAAAGGTCCAGAGGATCCAAGAACGCAGCTGATTGAAAGTGGAGACTCTCCGTCCAACAACTGCGTCAAGCCTCAGTGCACTTAAAGGTGCGGTGCGATAACTGAGGCTAACCTTGTGTCGTGCTATCAAACGGTTGGACTCAGGGATTTCTGGACAACACATCACCATCGTCCATTTTTTCATCAGGGTGCACTGCTCCAGACAATTTCCTGTGTGGAGTTTGTTGACTCCACCATTTAGCACAGTACCAACTGGTCAAACTTGGTCGTGGTTTACCGCCTTTCTCACAAAGTGCAACAATGCCTGACAGCGAAGTCTATATATACAACAAACCGAACAGAAAAATCACTAAATTTCCCAAACTGACTTAATAGTTCGGAAATACTTCTGACTGAACAAATTTGTAATTTGGTGGTATATCGATCTACAACGGATTGACTCACGTTTAAATTTTTCGTATCGATCAGAGGCAACAACGGTGTGTGAATGCGTGCATAGCTGCCGTGAATAAGACCCCAAAATAAGAAGTGTAGGTTCAGTCTAGTTTATTAGCTATAAACCATGTACCGAAGGTTTGTTGGTTCCACTTAGTACGTTTTCGATCAACGCGAGGCGGAGAACACAGCCAAGCATGGTAGGCAGTGGCATGTTAAGTTCAGGAATCAGGTAGCCATGCGTCGAAGGTGATAGCTTTGATTCCTGAGCGCCACTGACTGCGCGACTGGGTCATTTCCGCCAGTATCATTAATTATTGACAGGTCCTGGCACCGCAATCAAGGAAGACGGCAGTTCCGACCCGACTCAGGGTACTGGTTAGTGTTCTCATACTTTGTTCTCAGGTTATACAGTGCCTACCTCGGTTATTTCCACTCAACGTCAGACACTGTCCTCTGCACGTAGAGGCTACGTCTTTGATCAATCAAACTGTATGGATCTCACCGCCGGACAAACTGATGTCACATCGATGCCATAGGTGTCGGAGGTGGGCAAAAGCTGCCCTGACCTTCCTGATTCGAAAAGTAGTTCCATCTCCAGCCAGTTCATCGGAACTTATATGACTGCCCAGGCAAACATTTGTCTATCACGTCGATTGGCTCAACCACAAGCACACGAGGTTTGGGTTTGATCCAACCCAGTCTTGTAGCAGCATTTTGCAGGTGTGAAGTGCATGCCAAACCGTGAGGCAGAGTCATTTGGGTTATTTAAAATGGTGTTCATTTTTGAAGGATCTGAACCAACAACAGCAATATCGTTCGCATGCTAATTGTCCGTGAGCGAAGATCCTGGGATCGTTTCGACCTCAGGTTTCAAAAGTGAACAGTGATTTCAAACACATCATTAACTAAGTTGAAGAGAAAAGCGAGAGAAGGCAGTCTTGTGTTACACTACTGGATGTGTTGCACTCAAGCGAAGGCTTGCCATAGGCTCATACGGGTCCACAAGAGTTCGCATACAGTACCATCATAAGGGACATAACTTTGGAAGAGACGTCTTTGATCGACAAACACCGTCAAGGTTTCTCACGATCAACAGAATCAAACACAGATTTCGGATAAAGAAAAACGACCAGTGTGGGACGCTTCAGAAAGTGACGCTGCTTAATAATTTGTCTCAAGGTAAGATGTGGTCCATGCATTCTCGTCAGGGCGAAACCCAGCTTGATTCCTTTCCCGATAATCGGTGAATCTCCACAAAATAATGCCAGACAGCATCTTAGATGCGACAGATGCCAGTCTGATGTCAATGGCTTTCGCATGACATTCGCGGTCAATGAGCCCCGTTTGACCTATATTTTGTTCTCGCTCAGGATCATTGTTGACAATCACTTCTAGAACCATCAAGGGCTTGGCGCACGGAATATCCCACCTTGCTAAACCATTTTTGTAGGTTTTGGTCTGTGCGCTGGTAGTCAGGACAGTCATTCGAGCACACTCGCAGGCTCGGCTAGTTGGTAAACTCGGAAGGCTAAGGCGAACCTGACGAACTTTCTCTGGTTCCTCCTCCCGTCTCTGTAGCTTGATCGACGGTCTTGTCAACAGACTTTAACCAAGGTACCGGATGTCCGAGCTGTATGTTGCAAACTCCATTCCAGTCTTGTTGTTCGGACGTGTACTGGGAACTACATCCGGCGCGAGTTGATGCTGATGTGTTCATGTGGTGATGTGTTGCTTTCCGAGGCGAAATCTCGTAGTGTTGCTGGCAAGGGCGTGGATACCACAGAGTCTGAGAAATCTTTCACTATCGGTGTCCCCAGAGCCGATTTCACGATGTCCGAGAACACCCGGCCACAGAGTGATTTCTACCAACGCGTGCATTAGATTATCTCAGCAAAAGAAACTTACCGGTTTTCGGAAGTGACCGCACTAGTGTGTCGACTTTGACGCATAAGTTGTATTCGTGGTCGGATCAAAGAACCCGCTAAAGCGTATGCACTGATCATGGTCGTTCAAGCTTGGTCCTTCTGTCTAAGCCTGATCGAATTTAGGCGTGAAGCGATGCAACGGGATTATGTGTCCAGCGTCTCCATGGTGTGGTAGATGGTAAAATCCGATACCACGATCCTAATTTTCTCTTCACGCAGCTGTTGTTGAAACATGCAGTCTAGCTGGATACCCAACTCCAATGGAAAGATACTTATCTGCTGAATTCCTTTAAGGAACTAGCGAAGATATCGTTTCCTGTCCAGTTGTTGGACTTATTATATTCCATCAAATACAAACTTCTAGCTCAGTTATTCATAAACAGCTGTCCTGAAGGAGAAACCTTATCCCAATTAGGTCTCTGGAACATACCTTTTTCCTTTGCCGAGTAAAATGGTTGATTCCAACCGTATATTTATTCATAATTGCAAAAAAAAACATTTCTTCCGCCAGGTGGAATCTTCGGGCACATGCTCCCGTAAAACACCGTCAGCTCTCGATTCGTTTGGTTGGGACAGTGGCATATATTTAGTTCGAATAGCCTTACCATCCACCACGACATTAGGATTAGTATATACAAGCAGAAGCAACAGCTGAACAAATGAAG